CTCTCTCTGTCTGCTCTTTTCTCTCTCTCCGTCTGCTCTTTTCTCTCTCTCTCTCTCTGTCTGCTCTTTTCTCTCTCTCCGTCTGCTCTTTTCTCTCGCTCTCTCTCTCTGCTCTTTTCTCTCTCTCTCTCAGTTTCCCGTGAAGAAATTCACTATCACAATGTCACACGCCTCCGTCTCTCTCTCTCTCTCTCTCTTTCTCAGTTTCCCGTGAAGGAATTCACAATCACATTGTCACACCAATCACACTCTGTTGTTGGCTTGCCCAACACAGGCGTTGGCAGAGGAGTATGGGCCCAGCGGCAAAGATGGCACCTGAGGATTGGCGATGGCATCGAACCATTGGCAGAGGGACATCGTTGATGGTGGTGAGCTCGCTCAGGACCGATGGATCTTGTCAAGCCCTTTATGTCTTCCCCTCGCTTTCAAATGATGCAAAATGGCGCCGTATCATGGCAACAAGTGAAAGCGTTTCCCGTATTTGACTGCATTCTCACTGCGAAATACACGTGACAATAGCATCAAAAGCGAAATAACGAACTCAGCTCCGGCCTAGGGTCCTTCTTGATGTTTATTGAGCGCAGTTTCTACAAGAGACAGTGAGACGGGAATACACAGCACAAAACAATGGGATGATGTGACTGAAACGGTGTCAACACCCCGGTCCATTTGGGACTTTGCGAACACGTTGATTGGGGCAGGGCAAGGCTGGCGTTGTTTCAACTTTCAGGAGATGAAGCTCAAAACCAGCTTGGGGGTTCATGTCATTGAAGCATACAGTACAGGACAGGCCCTTCGTGGGTGTTCAATTCAATTTGAGGTATTGCATTTTGACAAAACAAATAAGACCAGGGCTTATACAATTAAAAATTGGGCCTTGGGTAGTGTTGTAGAACAAAGAGACCCAGGGGTTCGGGTACATAATTCTTTGAAGTTTGCCTCCCATGTAGACGGCGGGGTTAAGAGGGTGTTTAGCACGCTTGCCTTCATTGCTCAAACCTTTGAGTGTAGGAGTTGGGACGTCATGTTGAGGTCGTACAGGACGTTGGTGAGGCCTCTTCTGGAGCACTGTGTCCAATTCCAGTCTCCCTGTTATAGGAAGGATATTATTAACCTGGAGAGGGCTCAGAAGAGATTCACCAGGATGTTGCCGGGAATGGAGGGTTTATGGAGAGAGGCTGGGACCTTTTTTCACTGGAGGGTAGGAAGTTGAAAAGTGACCTTATAGCAGTTTATAGGGTTATGAGGGGTAATGGATAAGGTGAAAGGCAGGTGCTTTCCATAGGGTGGGGGACGTCAAAACTAGGGAGCATACTTTCAAGGTGACAGGAGAAAGATTTTAAAAAGGACATGAGGGGCAATCATTTTATACAGAGAGCGGTTCGTGTGTGGAATGAACTTTCAGAAGAAGTGGGGGATGTGGATACAATGGCAACGTTTCCATTCGGACAAGTACGTGAACAGGAAAGGTTTGGAGGGATCTGGGCCAGGAACAGGCAGGTGGGAATGGGTTAGTCTGGGATTATGGTCAACATGGGCTGGTAGGACTGTTTCCGCGCTGTATGGCTCTACGACGGTACAGAAGGTGGCTTGGGATCTGGATCTGAGCACCGGGCAAAGTCTTAAAGTTGGACAAATGGGACGGGGGTCAAAGGTCAGTGTAAGGTCAAGGATCATGGAGTGGACAGTAATGGTCATCCAGTTTCACAGTGTCCACGTTCGCTGAGACCCTTCATTGTGCTGTGTGACTGTCCCACTCACCAAATCCACCTTTCAAATTCTGGGCCCTGAAAATAAACAACCAGAAATAAAACAGTGTAGAGGGAGCTTTACTCTGTATCTAACCCCGTGCTGTCCCTGTCCTGGGAGTGTTTGATGGGGGGACAGTGTAGAGGGAGCTTTACTCTGTATCTAACCCTGTGCTGTCCCTGCCCTGGGAGTGTTTGATGGGGGGACAGTGTAGAGGGAGCTTTACTCTGTATCTAACCCCGTGCTGTCCCTGTCCTGGGAGTGTTTGATGGGGGGACAGTGTAGAGGGAGCTTTACTCTGTATCTAAGTGCCTGCACAATTGTTCCCCTCGTTGGGTTTACCTGCTGTAACCCATTTCTCTGGCCATTCCAGTTGCATTTGCTCCTCTCCATCCGAGCTGACAATGAAATATCACCGGGGCGTCCAGGCGAGGTTTCTGTCGGCCAAACCTGCTCTCAAAACTTTTTGGATCCAGTGACAAAGCTTCTTTCACATTATTCACTGCAGCAGGATTATGAGAGAAGGTGTGAAGGACATACTGTCACAGATCCTCACCCACCCCCGTCCCCCCTTTACCCACCCCCGGCCATCCGTTCCCCCCTCGGGGGGGGGTTAACCCCCCCCCCCCCCCCCCCCCCCCCCCCCCCCCACACCCCCCCCC